AAAAGTAGATATGTCAGATTTGCCGGTTAAGAAAATCAAAAGTAAAGTAAGCAAGTTCAGTAATGTAATCTTTAGAGTTTGAGTCCTATTCCGTGTAATGAATCGTAAGGGAGCTAATCTATTCTCCCCGCTGCTCCTAACTAAATATTAAGGAAAAAAAAAAAAAAAAAAAAGAAATAAGCTGTACACTTAAATTAGAACTGATGCAATGCTGTTAAAGTGATGAATTCATTCTACGTATATAAGGATCCATATATATTGCCATGCAATCGGATGAGGAGATGATTTCTTGTGGTTTCCGTGAAAACCAAGTTTTTCGAGAATACGAATACAAATGGAAGTCGTTACTTTATCATTAATTACATAATTATACACGTGAAATACAATACGCGAAGTATCCAATAAATCGCGATAGAACTGACGAGAGACGATCTCACAGAAAAATATTTGTGAAAAATCTAGAATAAATTTTTCAAGCAAAATCTTTAGAACGTATGAAAAAATTGTCACGTTTGTATAACAGGACTGAATTCCTTGTAAAACGTTATTGCAAATAAAGCAAAATTTATTTCTAAAAGCTGCTTTACTTCTCCAAAGGAGGAGAAAAACAATTCGTACGGAACTTGTAGTTTTAATTGTAGTCACGTTTTACAAAAATTGTTCTATCAATACAAATTCTTTCCACTCAAATATAATTTCTAAAATTTAAAAACTCTTCAATCACACACACACGCGCACACACAATCTAAAAATTTATTGCATACTTTTCACTGATTTTTTTCATGGAAAATCATATCTTATTGGACATTTCGCGTATTAAAAAATACCAATTCAAATCTCGCGTTACATCGCTTTACATCTACTTGGTTCATGATTCTGGCGAGTCTTTTAATCATTTATCATCGATCGTATCACGACTTATTGGAAATTTGCGTATTGGTATCTAGATACTGAACCAAGGATTCAGTATTGCACTTCACGTATATAATTATATAATTAATAATAAAGTAACGACTTCCGCTTGTGTCATTTTAGGCACTTTCCGTGGAAACAGCATTGTTCAACGCGTTTTTTTTTCTTCGTTAATGCGTTTTATAATGAAGCTTTGGTTGTTAATATATATGTATAATATCGTTAGAATCGAAGTGTCTTAATTTGCTCGAATTACCCTACTAACTTATCTACAAGTTTACGATCACGATCGATGCAACAAATATGTATAAGTCGTTATATAGTCTCGTCTTAACCGTGCTGTAAAATCAGTGTGTGTCACGTGTACGTGTACGTTTTGAGCGATCAGGCTCGATAAGTAAGCATATCGCGATGCGCTCACATAAGGCAAAAACTGCTCTCCGAGCATTCATGATCTATTCATTTTGTTTTTAACGGCAATTACAAAGTCCGATCGACATTGGCGTGAAGAAGCGTGCCTTCTTCGATCGATTTTCCATATCTGCCGCGCTGTCTCTTTCGAAAAGGAAAAGAGACCGTGTGTATATAACGTCTACTTACGTCTCTCGCTTTCATTTGTCAGCAGGTCTTGTGATGGTTTGCGGTATTACCGTCAGCGATTTCGGGATTTTCGGCAAAATCGGAATCGGATTGCTCGTCGACGACGTCGGCTTGGTCGTCACCTGGATCGACTTCGGCAGGTTGAAGTTCTGTATGAGATTTGTCGTGCTGTTCTCATTCGCCACCGTGGTGCGCGTAATGTCGCAGATCAGCGGCTCAAAGTCGCTGCGGCTCTGACGGCTCAGCATCTCCTGCTGCATCCGCAGGTGCTTGTGGAACTGCTGATTGTGGCCGGCAATGGCGACCGCCGTCTTCTGATATTGCGTCCTAAAACCACCGCTCGTGCCGCCGACCGATCCATTGCTCGTACCGGCGCCGGACTGTCTGTCATTGAGTTTTTGCCGTTTCTGTGTCCGCAGCATCTCCGGCTCGTTCATTTGAAATACTTTACCGGCAAAAACAGGGGGCAAATTCTGTCCGTCTTTCCGTTTGGCGCCGCTACTGGTCGGCAAATTTAATCGTTGCAGATTGGGCGGCGGTTTCTTGATGATCGACACTCCCGAATTGAGTTTGAGCACCCGCTGCTGCGCATTCACCTTCGCATTTACCGAATGCGACGGCATCGCACCAATACTGCTGCCGCTGGTCGACGGTCTAGACATGGAACTCGTGCCGGGCAGTCTCTCCTTTTCCAGCACGTAGCCGCCGCTGAGACGGCGCGAATTATTATACTCTGCCGCAATCGGCTCCATTATCGGCTCGTCCATCTTCTCCGGGCCCTCGTATGATATCAGTCTATTCTGCACGGACGTGGAGTAGTTGATCGCGTTCCGCGAGGCGTTCGGCGCCAGTATCAGGTCGCCGGCTCTGTAGTACTTCTCCAAGAGAATTAAATGTCGCAGGAAAGAGCTCTGATTGCCGTACGGTCGCTGCAATTGCTGCCAGAGGAGTTTAGTCTCGCGATCGTACTGTATCATCGTCGCGCACTTTTCCCATCCTTGCGGCGTCACCTCGCGCACGTTCTGAAATTCGACGTTCACGTGAAGATTCATCTCTTCCTCGCCTGGGAAAAGCGTACGCACGCTTATGGAGGGATTCGCGCCCAGTCTTTGCACCACGGGTGTTATGTCGTTGCTGTTGCTACTATTCACCTTCGGCTTCTTCGGCAACCGCGTCAGTGTGATCTCGTTGTCCATGCCGAGGATCTCGACCATCTCGTTCGCGATCGCACTATCGCATGACGACGATGTCGTGTACAGGTCGAGCATCTTGCGCTTCTTCAGATTCTCCACCGCGCTCTCGATGCCGAGATAATGTGCGTCCGTGCTGCCATTCTCGCCGCCGCTCATGTTACCCGTCTTTATAGCGCGAGTCTCGTTGCCTATATCGGAGGAGCTACATCCCGCCGTACCCTCGTTCTTATTTGGCTCCGGAGTCGACTTCTCCGACGTGCCGCTCGTTGTGCGGTCCGGAGACTTGGAACTTCCGCTCTTGAGTTGCTGTGCGCTCTTAGGACCTTTCTTGCTCTTCTTATCCTTCACTTGGCTCGCCTGCTGCGGCGAATCGTCGTCCTCATCGTCGGCAACCTCGATACCGAGATAATGCAGGATTCTGTATGTCGAAAAGCATTGTTTTGTTAGTTCCTCCTACTTATTTTCCTCAGCTTTTAAATTACGACTTTAAACCACAAGCGCCTGTATACTCACCGCCTTCGATAACTCTTACAAAAGGATTTATGATTCGAATTCATATTCTCGATGTCCTTGTACTTCAACTGGAGTTGTGTAAAGTATCGACACAGCTTGCACACAAACGTTCCAGCCGCCAGCGAAACGGGAACTCCTTGTTGTCCGAGTATCTGATTCAATTCGTCGATTTCTGCACTAACCACTTGATGAGTGTGCGCTCGAGCAAGTCGCCGTTTACACAGCGCACATGTCAAGAAACGCCCAATCTTCTCATAATGACTAATGCAGAACGACATCGTGGTGTGTTGAGTCGATTCCCAGTCAATGTCGACCTATAATTAATTAACGTGGATGAGATCCTATTTATTGTAAAATCAAATTTTACAGTGAGCTTTTAGACCGATACTAGATATACGAGTACTTGGATATTTATTATACTGACATATATTTCGGTCACGCACGTAATCGAAACATGTGTCAAATATAAATAAATATAAAAATACAAGTACAAATATCAGTCCAAAAGCCTATTATAAAGTTTGACTTGTATTTCTTGTCGTGCAAAAATAATGCGCCATTTACTACCATATAAATATTAGATATGCGTTTAATCGTATTACAAATATTAACCTGATTCTGGAGACCGGGTCTTATTTTGAGCAGCCAACGACGTTTAACATGATGTCGTGCAGGATCTCGGCATTCGCGAGCTGAGCATTTTGATATCATTAATTGTCTGTGTTGTTTCTGCGGCTTCTGCTGCATGTTTGTCGGGCTAGTGTTCGCCTAAAAACAAAATAAATTGTCAATCAGAACTATTTGAGAATTACGTATGCTTGATAATTTTATAATTATTGTGACGATTTGCAAGCTATGTGTAATTATTATTATTGTTATTATAATTATTAAGAAACAAACCTTTCTATCAACATGACGATAGCAGGCGTCGCATAGACACGAATCTTTGTTAAGATGTCTTTCTACATTCAAGATCTTTTTGCGTCTTTCGTCGGATTTCATTTGTGCTAAATGCATAGGTGTGTCTAAAGAACCGAATTTTCCAAAACAATAGCAACACACATCAGCGCATACGCGCCCAGGATGAATAGAAAAAGAAGAAGATTTCTCTGGAATGACAAGCGACTGACGATCCTTAGGTGTAGCCTCCTCATTATCGTCATCTAAGATGATAAAATTAACGAATTAAATATGTTAAAATTGAATATTGTGCCGCGATATATATAATTTTTCTTGACTTAATTGAGATGCAATTACATTAGTGAGAATGTAAAAGTTAACAGATATCTCTTAGTGTAAAAAGCAACAGCGTAAAAAAAAATAGCATGCATTGTTATAAAAAATGTTAAGCTGGTGGAAGTGTAGTTTTTGGAACTAGTGGTCTGTAAAACAAAAGATATTGCACAATATTCCACCTTAGAAAAACAAGCAAAACATAATCGGATTTCGACTAAACTGTACGTTATCATGTTGAACATTTTAAGTGCATATTGCATTTTTTTATTACATTAAGCACACAGCAAGTAGTAAAAACTGAGATTAAATAGGACATTGATGATCTCGACGTATTAATTGTGTTCTAAAACGTCCAAAATGGAAATATGGATAATTCATTATACTGCACTAGTCTCGATATAACTATCGGTTTAAAATGGAAGAAAAGTGTGAATATTATCGGAAAAGGCGGTGAAGGAAAAGTAAGTTAGATTATCAATTTAGTTATTCCCGCAACCAGGATTACCGCAAGAGTGTCTGTGGTTAGTAGTGAACTTTCGGTTCGCACCAGAGCTGCTATCTCCCAAACCACTGGTTCCAAACTGAAAAAAAAAAAGAAATAAAACATAATTGGTAAAAATATATAAACATGTCGAATTAACCCATTAGCTTACTGTCATATGATCCTCAACGCCCTTTTTTTCACGCGCGAAACGTTGAAACGAAAATGCCTAAATTTCTAAAACGTGGCACAGATTGCGCACTTGGAAACCGCTCGATCAATAATTAAATATGGCCGAGATATTTTTAAAACAAATGAAGAAAAATAATACTAAATATTACTAAAGAAAACAAAAAAAGGAAAGAACCGTTAAACGGAGAAAAGTTCGTAAGCGAATGAGCTATGTTTCGTCGAGTATGTGAAAATTTCGACTAACCTCCTTTTGAATGGTGTAAAATTCAGGTGAGTCCCCCTCTCCGTCACCACGTCCCTGCTGTTTAAGCACCATTTTCAAAGGGGATCGAGACCCTTTCTTATCTTTATCCTTGTCCTTTTGTGATACTCTGATGACTGTTTTCAAAGTACCTGATGAGGAAGACTGTTCCCTCTTAGTCTTCTGCTGATTCTGCAATCTTTGCGTGGCCTCCTCAAGGGGTTCCAATCCCAATAATCGCAGAATCGACTCCTTCCTCTCCTTATCTTCAGGAGTTTCCAAAATCTTCGGTGTGCCGCTATTCGACGATGATTCGCCGGACGTTGAAGCCTCGTCGGAATCCTTCTGCGCGAGCTCCGGCGTCTTCAGGGTCTTGCATTCGCTCTCCAGAATGTCCATATTGTCAGTTGCCTGTTTCGACACGTGATTTTCGGACAGATTTCGCGAGAGCTGCCGTTCCTCGTTTTTGCCATTTTTCCCACCAACGATTCTTATGTCGTTCTCCGATTTACTGCGCAAATTGGAATTCTTTTCGATCTTATCCAATTCACCTTGTCCGCCCTGCTCGAAGAATTCGCGGAAACTCTCCGTGCGCTCGACGCCGGTGCTGCCGTATTTGCTCAGGAAAGATCTATTGTTCTCGTTAATCTTGGCTACCTCGTTATCCAGCAATGTTTCTTCTTTGTTTTGCTGATCGGATTTTCGCAGATCACGCTTGACGCGCTTGGTCTTCGAGCTGCTGGATAGCTGCGGCAGCTCCTCTTTGCGTTTCTTTATCTCTCGACTACGGCGAGTACGAGCTTGTGGTTCAAGCTCGTTCGCGTCCAATTCATTGCTGTGCTGCGAATCGCTCGTGTCTTCTGCTTTCTGAGAACTTTCGGGAACAATAGTGCCATCGACGGACGAACTCTCGTCGGCGTCGCTGCGCAAGTTGGAATTTTGTGCCTTCTGCGGATTGGATTCCTCCGTTTTAATTTTCGCGCTGTCGGCGTGATCCCGACTGCGAGGCGTATTCTGTTTGTTTTCCATTTTCTTCTGCTTGTCGCGAGCACGCAACACTCTCCTGTTTTCCTCGTTAACGGGCTTCTGCTCGTCGGCACTCTTGTCGTCCGTCGCTTTATTGCTCTGATCCGTTGTCGGCGCGACTTCATTATGCTCCGACTGTTGATTCGAAGCGCTCTCATCCGAGTTGGATGTGTCGCTGGACTTGTTTAATTCTTTGCAGTCGTCGTCTTGATCGAGCTTCTCGGCTTCGTCGTTCCGCCGATCAGAAGTACACGTGTGTGTAGGCACAGAATTTACAGAGCTATATTCACTATTTGAATCACAGTTTGCGGTGGTTGGTGAGTGGTTATTGTTAGGTTTAAAATGCTTCGCGCTTTGTGCTGATCTGCAAGGAGCTTCGTTCTCCCGCAGCGTTTCAGATGCCTCGACAATCTTACTGTCTACATGGCTGTTGTTTGTCCCATTTGTACTATTGGCAGCTGATGGCGTAGAATTGTCGATGCAGCCAGCAGACGCTTCCTCTTCGTTTACATCTTCGTCTTCCTGCTCCTTGTCCAGTATATCGGAAATCATTTCTTTGCTCAAACTCGTATCGCTTGTAGCCAACGGCTTCACGCATTGTTCCCCTGCCACCAGTCTTTCTACTTCGCGAGATATACTTTCCAATGTTTCCGATTCTTCTAAATTATCCGAAACAGCATTTAAAATATCAGCGTCCGGTTCCTCCGTTTCTTTTGCTTGTTTACAATCTTCGAGAAATCGCTCCTCGATTTGCTCAGAAGTCATCGATGCGGGCGAAGCGGCGTTATCTGAAATCTGACGAGACGTTGTGTCTTCCGAGATCGTTTCTTCGTTCGTCGATTTTTGCGCATCCGCTGCAACATCCTCCGCATTATCCGATTTGACCGCTTTATTCGGCGTCCTGTTCGACTTTCTCGCTTCGGGACTGCTGCCGCTGTCCGAACTTTTGTCACTGATTCTCGAAGACTTTCTCGTCGGGACGGACTTTCTGCTTTCGTCCGATGTCTTTGACTCATTGTCGCTGCTAGTGATTGAAGCGCTACTGGCTGTGCTGCAACCAACGTTTTCCACGCCTGGCTCATCCACGTTGTTGCAAGATGTACCATTATTATTATCTAAATTACATGTAGATTCATTTGTATTATGTACATCGTTAATTCTGTCGCTATTGGAGGCTTTGTTCTCTTGGATGCTTTGCGAATGTGTCTCGGCTTCCCCAATATCAAACTTGACTAGTTTCTCTTCGATCTCTTTGGCAGTATCAGCCACTTTTGGTACTGAATTTTCCGAGTTATCTGACGTGATTTCATTCTTTGTAACGGTGGACCTGTCCTCGTCGGTATTTTCTTCTAATCCCATTTTCTGAGACTCTGTGCTGAGTGGCGCGACGATTTCTTCGATCTTCGCATCAAAGTTTTTACTTAATCCAAGACTCTTCTCCGGACCAAAGATTTTTTTCTCAATGGATTTGGCAATATTTAATTTAATGCTTTCGATCATTTGATCTATCTGCGATTTTGAATTACCGTCCGATTTGTCCGTGTTGTAAAAAGAATTAACTGTCTTTTTCGTATCTATATTTAAGCTACTCCTACGACCTTTAGATTTATCTGCAATTTTGACTAAAATACTGTCTTTTCTCACCGGATCTAAATTAAGTTTCTTCGAATCTTCTGCAGGCGCTTCCGCAGGCTTAGGTGTCACCCGTGCGTCCTCAACTTTAGCATCATCGTCTTTCGTTGCTTCGGTTTCTGCGATTTTAGCTTTAGTTTTGGAACGCAGTGTCGGTCCTATTTCGGCTGTTCTGTCCACACGATCGCTATTATTATTGTTCTCTACTTCCAATCCGGTTTCGGCATCCTCCTCAAAATTCTTCGGCATCTCGTTCTTCATCAAACAAATTTCTCTCTTACTCGATGCTACAATGCTTTGAGATTCGTTACAACCGGGATCTGAAAAGCAAGAGTCTGTATTTATATTGCAATCAGAAATATGTTCTATCGAATTATCAAGAGTTCCTTCTGAATTTAGTCTTTGACGCTTTTTAAGATCGTTATCTGCGGAATTACCGGAATCTGATAATTGACGCTGCTTTCCATTTCTTCTTCTTTGAGGCGGTTGGTCATAGGCATAATCGATGATCTTCCTTCTTTTCCTCAGCTGTATAGCATTCTGCATGTGCAATCCTTGATCTGTCTCTGTATATTCTCCGTCTGATGGAATTTTCATGTCGTCAGTATCGGGTTCTTTCTTTATTTCGACGTCGCCGACGGTATTTTCATCCACCAGCATTTTCTTACTTCTCGTCACCTTTCCTTCCGTTTTATCTGTAACGCCCTCAGCTTCAGTATCACTCAACATTGAACAAGCAATAACTTCGTCTATAGTAAGATCAATAGAACTCTTGTTGTCCAAAGCCGCCTTTGGAAGTTTTTCAACGCTAGAATTGCTTTTTACGCTACTACCACAGTCTAATTCCTTACCAGTGCTCTTTCGACTTTTTGCACCCTTGTTATCACCCTCCGTAACTTTTATGAGATTGTCCTTGATACTATTCTTCTTCAAGTTTGTTAACTTTACTGTTTTGGCACTCTTCAAAGAGTCAGGACTGTCCGCTACCTTCCCCTTTCTGCCAAGTTTTGGACTGACTTTAGCACTGGACGAAGCACTGGCCTCTTCCTTATTCTGAATGTCAGATTTGGTTTTCTTGGTCCTGAGATTGTTCTTGGCACTTTTGCTTGGTGTTTCAGTTCCTTTGCCTTCGTTGTCTCCGTTGTTTGTCTGATTTTCTGCAAGTCTAAGAGTAATATCAACTGCCTTAACTGTTGATTCCTCCGACTGCTTAGCTTTTTTCGCTTTCACACCCCTTATAACGCCACACGCTACCCTGTATAAGTCCTTGTTTGTCACTTTCTTGGTAACCTTTGACTTAATGAGATTTGCCTTCGCTGCTCTTAGGTTCTGCTTACGCTTCAGATTTTTAAGGGCATTCCTGCGTGGTAAACTTGCTTCTAGTTTCGCAGAGAGCTGACTACCTGTTGCTACTGTATCAAAAATCTCTTGCGCAACTTGCTGCTGCTTTATATTCGGCAATGACTTGCCTTTCTTATTCTTGACTTCATTGGATGGCAAGCCAGAGTCACTACTCGCCTTCTGTTTCGATTTGGAAGGCGCTAAGGGTTTCTTTTCCCTGGATGCCATCTCACTTCCACCCACATTGGGCTCCTGCAATATTATTTAAATCCTCTAAGACATTATCTTTCTATAAAAATTTACAAAATGTTACAAATTACTTCATTAAAAATTAAAATTAATTACACGCAATATTACAGTTATTTTTACATAATAGTAACAAAATTTTTTATTTTTTTACTTTCCATCTAATTTAATCTAAAAATGTTGAAAAACTAGCGAAAGACATAAAGCTAAAATTTTGTAGACATTTAAATACCTAATAATTTTAAAAAATATTTTTTTTTTTCTAATTGTCTTAAAAAATAAATTTGCAAAAGTCATATTGTAAAATTCACAATTTACGGGAAAAAAAAAGAACCATAATGGATTTATATCACAGTACGGAAACACGTGATTTACCGTGATATCATCGTATAGGCAAACGCATCTTTCGTTGCGGAAGGGATAGGGGGCGAAAAATTGTATGCAGGGCGTCGAGCTTCGAGAAAAAGCACATGATGATTCTCCATCCATCGACTATCGCAGCGCGCAAACGGTACGAAACAGCGGGGTTGATAGATGCGGCCCTGGCGGCCAGAAAAATTACGTGACAAACTTTGCGTTAACACACGGATGCACGGAGAGCGCCTCGTTCGCCTGCGCTCTCGGACTTGCCGTGGAACACGGCGACTGAAATATTTCGTACGATATCTCGCCTCGCGTCAGGCCGATCGCGACAATTCCACGCTCGCGAGAAAGCGCATGCCACACGCTAACTGCCCGGCCGAGAAATCGGGCCAGGATCGACCGACAAGTTCACGAAATCGTCGCGACAAGTCGTCGCGAAAAAATCGCCACGAATAAACAAAAGGTCGGCGTTCGCCTCGGATTTTCGGGGCTCGAGCGCGACGCCGTGGGCTCACGGCGATGGCCGTACGCGGGCTCCGCGACCCACCAGACAGCAGTACTTACCTCGGGGACTGAAAATCCTGCCGTAGGTCCGTGATGATCGCGAGAAAACGCGGACAACGATCCCCGTGAAAAAGACAGTCCCGTTGCAGGGTGTCTATACGCCGTCCCACTGTTTTCCGGCTACTGCCACCTGACGGCCGTCGCGCGCGGCTTCTCCCAGGAGCATAGTCCGTTCGCGATAACGCCGCGCCGGAGGCGCGTCACTCCGCCGAACTGCACCCCCGCACGATCGTCCGCCGCCCGGTGGAAATAAGTGAGACGATCGTCGCGTCGTACCGACTTTCCCGCATGAATCGACGCGCCTTCCCTCGCGCGAATCCGTACGACAAAAAATACGGAAACGAAAAAGAACACGCCGCGTACTACCGGCGGGCGTCGCGGCGCCAGGCACCGGAAGAGCAGCGACGCGGCCTGATACAGGCTTATGTTCACTTCACCTCACCTCACCTCACCGCCTCCTCGTCCCGCCATGCGCTTCCATGCCGAACGCTACGGTACGTGCGCGCTAACTGACGTCGCGTTACAGCGCGGATTTTAGCCTCGCAGCGAGCGCACGGGCGGCGTTTACCTACCGGAATCGCCTCGTTGTCGTCGTCGTCGTCGTTCTCGGCGACGGCGTCGGCCGCGTACCCGTTACGCGGAGAAACGAATGTGGCGCGGGTTAGGTACGCGCTATAGACCGCGATGCGAGAGCTCGTGGTCGCTCGGCAGCGAGAGGGAAGACGCGCCCGTCTCTGGCTCGTCTCGTATGGTGCGCATCAATGGCGGCCGCCGACCCTTATTTACCGAAGTTCCCAAAATGGCCGCCCTTCGGATTTTCGCACGCAGCAGCCTTGCGGCGATTCTGAATCCCGCACGACCGCTGAATAGCGTCACGACGTCGCGCGTCGCATCCGTAGCTCAGGTACACGCGAGATTTCTAGACACAAATTCGCGGGGCGATTCTTTTTCGCATTTTTTCTTACGCGCATTATCGTAATTACCTCGAGACGATATCGCCGAAGGGCCTCTCATGTAAGTCGTCTCGAGTGTACTTTTGCGTTGTCCACGCTCGTTGGAGTTCTTCCGCGAATATAATATCCGTTAATTGCGTTTACACAATGATAAATTTATGACAAGTTGTCACGATGCAATTAATTGTAAACGAACGGAAGTGAGAGAAGTACACGCGATAAAAGGTTCAGTTATCCAAACGTGATTTATCTAAATGCGCTCGACGCGTGTGCTGTAACGCGGCCGATTATAATCTTACAACTGTTAACTACGAATAAATCGATTAACATCTGCAAGAATGCCCTGGCGACGAGAAATTTTTACTAACCTATAAATATTATTCCTAGTTGTTTTCAGAATTTTATTGCTCCAAAGTTTTTTAGAATTTACTGTACAAAGAAATAGATTCACTGTATATAATTGTATATGAATTATGTTAAGAATATTGAAATTTGTGATCACAACTGCTAATTGTTGCTATTGTCATTTGTCTTCTCTTGCACATTTTTTTTGCAGTGATATTACAGTAGAATGTTAATATTGCAATAATATATTTTAGTCTAAAGTTATCTGAAACTTATATGCAAGAAATCTATATTTTTTAAGAGTATTATGAGTATCTCAGTTAAAAAAGTTGATTATTATAGTTGATATATATAGTTTATTATAAATAATTTCTGCCCTTTAGATACAACAGAGATGGAGCAGCTTCAAATCATCTCCCATATATGAAGGATCTGAGAATTATACAGATTATGAAATAACAAATGATCCAAAAGAATGGGAGTATGTAGAACGTTTGCTTAGATATAAAACAATACCAAAGCCACCAACTGGAGATGTTCAACTCTCATCCGGCTATAAACCGGCACGTGGTAAGCAACAATTATTAAATATACTTTATTATATATATAATAAATGTATTTGAATTTTTCTGTATGTCTAAGAAATATTTCTTTTTAATTCAACAGCTGTGTCCACGGATTACTCCTATTTTATAGAACGTACAAAAAATTACATGCAGCCTGTGTATCTGCGGATAACTCATAGAGGAACGAAAAGATATACCAAGATAGGTAAAATTCAAGGAGACATATGGGCATTGGAACGTGATCTAAAGAAATACCTAGAAGAACGCACAGGGGTCAAAACTGCTAGTCAAATACATGAGTTTGCGGGTATACTTAAAATTAAGGGCGATTATGTTAATCGAGTTAAAGAGTGGATGGATACAAAAGGGTTTTAAGAACCGCTAGGAACAATTGAATAATAAATTGTTATTATGTACTTTGTAAATATATGATAAAAAAGAAATCTTTGTTACAAAATATGTTGTACATTAAATAGCCTCTCACCCATGTTCAACATTAATTAATGCCTCATAAATAAATTCACTTTTTCAAATGACAAAAATTCTATGTTTTTTGTTTAGTAATATGTAAACATTATTTTTTTTTTAAATAGAGGATTTTATTTTAGCACTTTAATAGCATCATATTTATTTCTCTGAAAATATATGCTTGTGCAAGTATCAAAGAATTTTTATAATATCAAGGATATGTAGTACATACATATTGCATATTTAAGTTTTTAATCCGTCAAAAAAAAAAAAAAAATAAGTTGCAGTATTATGCAAATATTGAATTAAATAATCGGTGGTAGTAATAAATATACATATAACATTTCTGGTGATAAAATCAATACATTTTTCATAAACTTAACAGCTGAAAATATCTATTTCTGTTCTCTTTCTCTACTTGTATGTACATGTACTATGTACATGCATATGATACATTTTTTCCTATCAGAGATCCATTTTTGTTCTACATATAAATACATATATGTATTGTGAAATACTTTATATAACCTAAACTGAATGTGTGATCAAACTGATGACTTAAATAGGAAACAACGAATGATACTGTAGTATTAAAATAAATTAGCTGTCTTAAAAATAATTCTTTATGAGTTGTATATTCTAAACATTTTTTCTAATAAAAGTTTATATTTTGAGAATTAGAAAATATTATAAATAACATAGACGTCTATGTGTATAAAAGAGCTGTCATATTACGTGTAGAGATTGAGAAGAAACATATCTAGGCGAAATAGATGTTCGAATGCTGGTTTATCCTATCCAATGCAGGATTTTTGAAGGGTGTTTGTAAATTTCTTGTGTCATTTTATCATTTCTTAGGTTTATTTCATGCGAATAGAACTTTCTGTTTATTTGATGTATAGCAAATTTACTTGAAAATTTTTCCTTGATTGAACTTGCGTCCCTCTTTGTCCGTACCAATCCAACTGAAATATTGTTCGACCAACTTCTTGGTCTGTTCTTTAGATGGGTCCAATTTTGTCCAATTGTAAGATTCATAATCTACTTGCCAATCTGGACTCAACTACAAAAAGAAAAAAAGAAAAACATGTATACATCTTATATGAGATAGAGAAATATCTTAATCTATTTAAATGTTCGTGTAAAACGTACTGTAAAAACAAGATCCTGTCCGCGCCAAACCCAAATGCCACTGATAGTGTTGTTGTTATCCTCTCCGAATATACAGGCACTAGCAAACGCACCTTTCCTCATCGAATCTAGTCGTTGGTACATACCACTAATTAAATTACAAGACATGAAAACCTGTGTAAATAAAAAATATGTTAATAAAAATATTTAACAAATTTTTAATTAGTCAAAAAGAAGTATCTGCCTACTTTAGTTAATTCATTATTGTATTTGTATTCGCCAAGCCAAATGCTATAATTTTCCGAGTCAAACTTCTGCCAGAAGTAAGGAATAGATTTAGCTTCGTCTTCGTTAGAATAAAAACGTTTAAAATCGTCGAGGTCAAATGAACTTTTAGGCATCGAGGCGAAAGGATTTTTCTTTTTGGGCTCAGCAGCCAAAGCCGCTTCTGCTGCATCAACTGAGTCTTGTATTTCTTGTATTTCTTTTGCTAGAGAAACTTTTTCTGCCTTCTTCGATTCCTTGGGTTCTTTTTGTTCTTTCTTAGATTCCTTCTCTTTCTTTTCTTTCTTTGAACTCTGTGTAAAACAACAAAAACAATTTATCAATATTAAATCTCTATTTTATATTTATAACATATTTATTAAAAAAATACTAACCTTTCCTTGTGTTTCTGCAAACTTCTTAGGATCAAATTCAATAGTTTTATCCGCCAGTTTAAAGGCACCAATAACAGCAATGGATTCAGGTTGATAGATGACAGTTTGGAACCATCGATTTACATTCTGATAAGGTTTGCGTAGTTCTGGTTCAAGAACATACTGATACAAGTGCAGCAATGTCATAGCTACACAAATATCCGCCAAAGTCAATCGCTCTCCCACTAAATAGGTTCGTGTAAGTAAATGTGAGTTCAAAGCAGTGAGTGCTTTATTTATGTCCTCCTTAGCATGCTCAACAGTCTAAAAAAAATCATATAAATTAATTTTTTATCACAATTTAGTGTTATAATATAATTACACAAAGATAAATTTATACTAGTATAAATGTATGCTATATTGTAAAAACATGTGCAGTATATTATAATATGCACATAAATACAATACGCATATTTAATCTACCTCCTTGAGTTACAAAGAATGGCTATGTTTGGCCAATTTTGCCTTTGAAAGAGGATCACATAATTATATATGTAAAATAAAATAAAAAACAAATTAATCATTTGTAATAATACCTGTTTATGGTACGGCATTATTCCAAGTAGAGGAAATACCCAAGCACAACTGGCAGGAAGAATTTCGGAATCGGCAAAGCCAAGCCATTGGTTAACCAATGCACGTTCAATATCTGTTTTACCCCTTAATTGTTCGTTAGCCACTGTAAAAAATATAGCACATAAATAGATAGATGTTTAAAATAAAATAAATAATTCTTTTAAGAAAAATCTTACCATAGTACGCAATTGCATTGCTTTCAGTAATGCAGTTTCCGTCACAAGTTTCAAAAGCTGGGACCTTTTGAAAAATTTTAGAGATTAACATAATTTGTACAAATTACGAAATTAATATCTATTTTGAAAACTATTATTCCATTATATAAATTATAAAATAAAAAACATTTAAATGGTAATTATTAGTGTCAATCTATCACACCATATGAATCACCATATTTTTATATATAATACTTTAATTAAGATTGTAATATAAATAAACAAACCATAATAAAAGCATACTGTCTGAATACTACTTTATAACAATTCATTATAAGGAAGAAATAAGAATGATAGAAGCAAATTCTCTTCTCGTTCTAAGAAAAAGCATGTTCGTCGCATCATGTGTGAAAAACAATGAGATTCGCGAGAAACGCAACTGTACGTAATCGTTCAATCGGTGTATCCAGCGTACCTTTCCCAGCGGAAATTTCTTCAGAAATGCTTCACTCTTGTTCGTTTCACCAAAGACGAAGTCATCGGCGATTTTAATCTGAGTACCGGAGAACTGGGCCGCTATCAGAGCCTTGTAGGCTCGGAAATTTTCCGGGTACGTGTAGAGGGTCTGTAAAAAATTTACAGTGTGATAGATAGCATATTATACGGGCATCATTTTTCGTCAATCTAACATCGGCATCGACGCGACACGGCGCCGATGTCGATCGGAGAGAAACCGCGTGAAAGCCACTTACGCCAGACGCCATTGTAGCCAGTCACGGGAAGAGGAAGTGGAAGGCCGGTAAAGATCGCTCTGCTTGTACGAACGTGCACTGCCAAGTACACCGCGAGTGAACGATGCACTTGCCATCTTTTACGCCCTCTTGTGAGGCATTTTCGACCGAGTGCATCATATCTAGATATTCGCATATCATGATTTTTCATTGAAATCCAAAATTTATTTTTGTTTATGTTAATTAAATATTATTATATTTATTTTATTTGTCTTATAACTTTGTTTATTTTATAAGTTTATTTTATAATTTTTCATGCAATTAAAAAGGTGGAGATTGTGCTTGTTTCAAACGTTAGGGTATATCCAAACAACTTGCATAATTGCATAATGCATATAAATTTATTTTATAGCGTTTTTGAATGAACGGATTTATGATCCATTCCAGATGAATTAATCACTACTTTACTATAAATTCAAGTCTTTTATTAGCAGAGACAATGCTATTAGAAACGTGATTGGTTAATTCTTAACAGTATATATACACACCTTAAAATGGCGGAACTGGACCAAACTGGACTGCTTGTGTACTATCTAAGATATTTGATTTATTCATGGTGAGAGTGTAAAAAATGGCAGCCCTTAAAGATGTTGTCTCCTTATATCAGAATTTAAAACGCGAATGGACGAAAACTCCATGTAATCTAAAAAAATGCGGTGAATTACTTAATCAATTAAAGGTAATTTACATATTTTATTTAAGAATAAATCAGTTTGTAATTAATAAAAATACTTTGTCATAACCTCACACGTTTACAGGGACTGTCAAAATGGATTGTCATTGTCCCTTAAATAACTTTGTCTTCATCTATGATGATTATTCTCTTTAACATTTAAACTGTTAAATATGTATCTAAGTAGAATTCAGATTATTATCGCATAATATTAATAGTTAAATAATAATTATTAATTATGCAGATTGGTCTCACTCATCTAATGTTTCTCCCGACGTCAAACAGCACTGCTAGTCAAAATGAATTGCTGATTGCCAGTATGTATAATTTATTTTAAGTTTTCAGTCATGTTGATGATGTGTCCAATCTTAAATCTCATTATTATTTGAATTCTAGGAGACATATTAGAAATTGGAGCACAATGGAGCATTGCCAGTGAAGATATACCTTCATTTGAACGATATATGGCACAACTAAAATGTTACTATTTTGATTATAAATCTGGCATGATGGAGTCAGCTTACAAGTATCAATTGCTTGGTTTAAACCTTTTGTTTCTATTGTCGCAAAATCGAGTTGCCGAATTTCACACAGAACTGGAACTTCTGCCTTCTGATCAGATACAATCAAATGTTTATATAAGGCATCCTCTGAGTCTAGAGCAATATTTAATGGAGGGTTCATATAACAAGATTTTTCTGGCTAAAGGCAATGTGCCTGCTGCATCCTACAATTTTTTCATAGATATTTTATTGAATACCGTGCGTGACGAGATCGGCGCATGCATGGAAAGCGCATATGACAAGATCTCTATTCAGGATGCTGCCAGAATGCTGAATTTAAATACAGAAAAAGACATAAAAGCATTTGCCGCTAAAAAGAACTGGAATCTGACGAAAGATGGTTATTTCTACTTTACCACAACTAATGAGAAGAAATCTGAGGAGCCTATTCCGAGTTCCGAATTGGCAGCACTTGCGATAGACTATGCTCGAGAATTGGAAATGATTGTGTAATGTTTATGTAACTTTGTATTTTACATTTAAATAAATATAATAAATACCTATAAATAGATATTGCTCTTACACAATGTACAATACAACATTTTTGGTTTGTAATACATATATGGAATATATATATATATATATATATATATATATATATATATATATATATATATATATATAATTAAACTTGTGCAAATATATATTAAATTTCAAGTAAAATCGCATTTTGTTTGTGATAACAACTATGCTTAGTTGCATCTAAGATTGCATCTTAGATGCATTAGTTGCACTAATGCATCAGTTGACACCATTTAGTACATATTAGATATAAGTCATTTAAAATATTAAATACTGTTCAATTCAATTCAAAAATTATATAAAAATATATGGATTTTTATTAATTTGTGATTCATGAAAAAGCAATTTTTATTTTTGTATTAAAATATTAAAATTATATAGCATATAATATATAATTTATAAATAATTTCAAAATTAATAATTTTATTTTTTTTAAATTATTACTATGCCTCTATTTAATATTTTACAAAGCAAAGTATGAAATTTATCATTAAAGGTCGATGACAAATAGTGAATGACAGCGACGCGGACAAACGGTAACATGGCGTCCAGTGTTATCGTTAGAAAATTAATTAATGCTTGTGAAACGAGAACCTGAGAGAAGTATTAAGTTAAACGATACGTAGAATTTATATTTATAGTAATTAACATACACGCGCACTTGTAATGCAGTCTTATGAGGAAGTATTACTGATATCATAACCATGAATATGTTTTTATATACGTACATTTTTTTTTACGCGCACATCTTACGTGGCAGTGTTTATCACTAAAAGATATCGAATTGTGTTAGCTTGTCTCTTGTGAACAAGACAGCTTTGCACGTAAGTAATATTGTACATTCGACAAAAAACAATAAATATAATATTCTTATATCAAATATTATGTTATTAATAAATGATAATATTACATTGAGACAATAGTAAATAAATAAATTTATGTAAATTTACAGTTAACTAAGTAAAATAAACAAAGATAAAGTAAAAATTAATTTTATATTTTTCAAAGAAATATAAATCATTGATTTTTCATTGATGAATTAATCTAATACATGATTAATGTTTAGAGAAATTTATGAAGAAAATGGAAATAATCTTTTTTTGTTATAATTTTTACAGGATTCATAGGAATGCATGAAAAGAGAAAAAAATTACAAACCATGCGTGCTGTAATACTTGTGGGTGGCTATGGAACCAGATTACGACCCCTTACTTTAAGCCGGCCTAAACCGCTTGTTGAATTTGCAAATAAACCAATACTTCTACATCAGATTGAGGCACTGGTATATATTTAAATACTTATGACATTGATGAAAACTTAATGAAAGTATTACCTTCTATACTTTTCTCAACATGTTATTAATTCTAACATGTTTAGGTACAAACAAATGTAACGGAAGTAATATTAGCTGTCTCGTATCGAGCGCAGCAGATGGAGGAGGAGTTGGTTCACGAAGCGAAAAAATTAGGAATACGACTCATTTTCTCTCACGAACCGGAGCCATTGGGTACTGCTGGACCACTTGCACTTGCCCGCGAATACTTATGTGACAGTGATGATCCTTTTTTTGTTTTGAACTCCGATATCATTTGCGATTTTCCCTTTAAACAGTTGCTTGAATTCCACGAGAATCATGGTAAAGAAGGAACCATAGTTGTCACTAAAGTGGAGGAACCATCGAAGTATGGTGTGGTTGTGTACAAGGAAGATGGAAAAATTGAGAGCTTTATTGAAAAACCACAAGAATTTATATCGAATAAAATTAACGCAGGTATAATATCGGAAATATCTATACCTTTATAAAAATATCTTATGTATTATGTGCACGTTTATGATACAAAAGATTTTATGTTTACAAAATATAGGTATGTACATTCTTAATCCGAGCGTATTGAACAGAATAGAATTGAAGCCTACGAGCATCGAGAAGGAAGTCTTTCCAAATATGGCTCAGGATGGAGAATTATATGCTATGGAATTGCCAGGCTTCTGGATGGATGTGGGGCAACCTAAAGACTTCCTCACAGGCAAGTGTTTAATACCATAATTTTCTCAAACAGTTATATACGAATTAATACGTCCATTTATACTTAATATTTATAATTTTATTTAGGTATGTCTATGTATCTTGCTTCACTAAGGCAAAGGCATCCTGAGCAACTTCATTCTGGGCCTGGTATAGTAGGCAATGTCTTGATAGATCCAACGGCTACAATTGGTAAAGATTGCCGAATTGGACCCAACGTCACAATCGGGCCCGGTGTCACTTTATCCGATGGATGTTGTATTAAACGGAGTACTATTCTTAAAGCAGCTGTGGTCAAAGAGCATGCATGGCTCGACGGGCAAGTATCAATTGCATTTATACATATACATATTTCAAACCTCGGAACACATGAAATATGTCGAAATAATTCGAAATTATTTAAACAGGTGTATCGTTGGGTGGAGAAGCGTCGTAGGACGATGGGTGCGAATGGAAAATACAACTGTATTAGGAGAAGATGTTATCGTGAAGGATGAAATATATATCAATGGCGGACAAGTTTTGCCGCATAAAAGTATTTCCACTTCTGTACCGGAACCGCAGATCATCATGTGACCAAAGACTATATTATCTAAACTCGAGTCAGTAAAGGCAATAATAATTAATCGAAACACGAATTATGATCCGGAAAGTTTTTCAACAGTTTTTAAAACATTAAATGTATCATTTTTTATTCATTTTAATTACTTTTATAAATTACATTTTCAAGATAAACTTCTGCATTAAAATATTTAAAAAATACAACTTTGATCTGTAAGAAATTACCGTAGTTTTGTTTCACTTCCTTCGAAATGGCTTTGTATGACTTAGAAGTATAAATTACGCTACTTCAGTATTGCAAAAAACATGGTCTATCAAAAAGAATTTAAACTATCTTTATCGGTAAACCTCGTACTACTATCGCGGCTGCCGTCATATACTGCGAGCAACTCTTCTTGGACTTTGCCACTGCCCTCAACATTTCGGGCTCCATCTCCACTTCCTTTTCCTCGTTATTCACAAATTCTGAAAAATTTATAAAAAATTGTCGAGTATAATCAAGATGGCAGACGAGTGAGATACTTTTAATTCGTAATACTAACTTAGAGAACCAGAGATCCAACTTTTTACGTTTACTTCAGTCCACGATTTTTCAGACGACGAAGGAATCCAATTACTCATGAAATCTGTGGTCATTTTGTCGATATCGGCGTCTGTTACTTCCCACAGCATACCCAAAAGACATGGACTAGAAATTAAATTAACGTATATATATAATTTCTAATTTTTAGATTTTAAATTACAAAGGTTTCTTAATTTTTAGATTCAAATTTGAAAAAGAAACAAATTCTTATGCATGACACACAAAGATACATTCTTCCTACCTGCATGCAATCAAATATTGATTCGAAACACCGTAAGGTGGATATCTGCCACCTGTCACATACAGTTTTCCGCTGCTACATCCGATTAATAAAACGGTAGATCTTACTCTCATCCTTTCGATTGCTTCCCCGGCTAGATATTGTATGCCACTTCCATGACCACTGTACCTATAAAAAAAATAGTGAACAAGTGATGGACTGAAAATGACTTACTGACAAAAATAAAATCTTCGTACATTAAAATATCATGATTTGTTAATGCATCTTTGAACATTTCTTCGCTAGGCTCTGTGTTGTAATAACTTTTCCATTCAGGTAGCCAGAAGTTTATAAAAAGGTTCATGCGCTTCTCCATATTATATAAATCACCCGAAGGATTAACCATACAGATTCCCATATCTGTTTTGGCTTTAATTACTTTACATCCTTCTACAATAGTATCTTCATGTTCTTTGAATAACGCGTAGACTATGTGCAAAGACGGGAGACGAGTGACAGGATGATTCTTAATAATTTCCATAGCTTCAAATGCTATGTAATCCATGTGCTTAAGAAAAAATAAAAATTTGTTGAATAGAATACAGATTTATATAAATTTCCATTAGTAGATATAATTATTCTGATGCAATATTATGACACTTACCTCATCAACAATTAGAATCAATGTCTTTCGCTTTATATTCTCCAAATCCTTTATGTATGATAATTGTCCGTAAATAGATAAAATTATGTTATTTGCAAGCTTTTTGTGTTCAGGAAGCAAAAATTGGACTGCACGCGCTATTTCGTCACGCGTGAGAAAACATGCACCTGTGGACACTTTCTTCAACAGCCATGTACACCGTTTTGATATCTCAACCCTGTGATAATGAAATAATGAAATATAATATATACAAATAACATGATACAGTAAATTCTAAATTCTTGTTTACTTACGGAGATTTGAAATCTGCTATTAATTTATCTATCATTAGATGAATCTCATTTACAATTTCCAAGTCCTCAATAGGATCAGCCATAAATAATACCCTCCATTCTCTCAACCATAATTTCTCTAATCCGTCTATAGCCGCCTGTAATTAATTACCTTAAATGTCCTTCTTGAAAAGTATATTAATTTTAACTTTACCTTCATTTGATCATCTTGACTCGTACGCATTTTCCAATAATGTTCGTGATTCACATAAGTGTTTGTAAGTACAGATTTGTTGTTATGTAATAATTTCTGAATTTCTTTGCAGATATCATAAGAAACTTGCATTGCAGGTCTCGGCAAAGTTATGCACAAGGGTTCTGTATCAGATGGTCCTGTTGGAAGCATTGTAATATGTATAGCATGCATTATGCTAGATGTACATTCTTTTTGTCTTAATATACTCGGAGATTCATATTGGGCAGTGACCTGAATCATATACCATTCTGTGAACAAAATCAGAAAATATAATAAATTGATGCAAAAACATGCCATAAGGAGGAAAAAGCAATGTACCTTTTGGCAGCTCTGAAAGTTTTGTTTTTAACAATTTATTATCTGTGAATTTTGTCTCAAACTTCACATATGTTGGTTTTAATCCATATGTTTGAGGTGCCTCATACATTTCACGTACTTTTGTTTTTTGATATCGGTGCAAAATGTGTTGCCGAAATATTACCGCATGAGATTCAATCAAATGATGAATAGCTACGAGTTCATTTCCAATCTATGAAAAAAAAAAAATATATATATATATTTCATCTTAATATCATTTCAAAGTATCCATTCATTATAAATTATTAAATATCTTTTGAAATTTTATATATATATAAAATTCATATTAAGTATTTATTTCAAACTAATTTTAATTATTTTTACTACAAATTAAATTATAATATTTAAATACCTCTAAATTACACATGGCCAGCATTTTATTCAAACTAGCATATTCAACGCTTCCCACATAATTACATCGTATATTTTCAAGTAATTTTTCTGCATTATTCTTAATTTCTTCTAATTTCTCTTTCTCGATATTTATTTTTGATTTTCTTACTTTACAGGAGCCTTTTGATCCATCATTAAAGTCATCTTTGTTGGGATGACATTCATATAAAATTTGCATAATATTGTCAGTAATGTTATCCATTATTATTTTATTCCAATAGTTCTGATAACAATAACAGCAACACAAATTCACAGCACTGTGGTTTAAATATTCAGAGAAACTTGATGAAAATTCAGACTTCTGTTAGAAAATTCGTCTGTTTATCAACTTTCTAACGATCTTATGAAACCATACAATCGTACCCAACGATCCTTTTCAATTTCTGTTCAGTAGAAACATCACATCACATAGTATTGAATTATACTTTATTATGTATGGTTGCAACTATTATTAATAGAAAATTATAATTAAAACCTACAAGCAGATATTTTTAATTAAATATTTTAGATTTATGCACAATTCTGCAAATTTCAATTTTAACGTCAGACCATGCGCATAAGGTTACTTCATTAGTGACATCTACCGTGTTTCATAAAATCTATTTGAAGAAATCATAAAGCGCGCTGCATTCAAAAATTAAGTTTACTTTTGCAAATAAATAATTCTATAATTATTTCATAAAAAAACACAACACACATTTTCTTAATAATTTTAAGTTTCCAAAAAATTTAATTATTTTGAAAATTTAGATTTACTTATAATAAAGATAAAAATTTATATGCAAAATTTATTATTGCAAACTGTAACAATTACGAACTTTTTCATATGCATAATTTTTATTTAACATATATTATATATATATTATAACAATATGTAAAATGATACTATATATCTATAGTACAATATTGCCCAATTATTATACTACAATATACAAGTAAATTGCACTCGAATTTTTATCATACAAATTCTATACAGTTATCAATATTATATAATATTTATACATTTTTCTTATTTCATCTAGACAATAACTAACCCCGTCATTGTAAGTACGAGCATTAATATTGTCCTTTAATCTCATTAAAATGTCTTAATAAATTGCAAGTTGTATGTATAAGTTTCACAAAACCAGTGATATAAAAATTATATATATATTATATGTATAGGAGATTATTATTATAAATGCTATCATGATTATATTTAATCTTACTTCATCACAGAAATTTAAACATCATTGATGCTGTTTTTAAAATATTTTGCTGCCGTAGATTGATGGAATTTTTATGTTGTGTTCTTATTATTCCAGGACTTGTGGTCCCACGAAAGATTGATTGTTTGCGATTTGATGCAAATTCTCTCCCGCATATGAGAGGAAAGGGGAGATCTCGACGTCTTCGTCGACGCTTTTCGCGCCCGCATCCAGCAACCACTTTTTATGTAAATTGAGTAGATCGACGCGAGCGGTACTTGGGCAATCTTGATCAGCAGAATCTGAATTTTTCACCGGGCTGAATTCCTCCTCGCGAATTCCCTGCCAGACTGCGAAATTCTTTGCGAAAGGAAACACACCGAACACGAACTTCTCTATTTTGATGCCATTCGGACTTTTGGGAGTAATCCTTTCTCCGTCGTTGTTGACGCACGGAATTTTTTTCTTTGCGACGTGCAAATCCAAATCTTTCTCATGATATTTATCAATAGTTTTTAGAAAATCGACAGTAAAATAGTGATTGCAAATATTGGCAGCGTTGTATACCAGTTGTCCATCAGCGTGACGCAACTCCGCTGTCTTGTTCGTAATCTCGCTGTACTCAACGACTTGATAATGATCTTCCACCTGTACCAACCAAGATATAAAAATTATTAAAACGTAAGACATATTTATGAAATAAAATGCAAAAAAGAAACATACTTTGCAAACAACGCCGACTGCTTCATTGGGGGCGGACTTCTCAATGACTTTAACTCCACAGTCCGTATCAGAGAGCAAACAGTATCCTATAAATACAGGATCCGCTACTTTTATCAAGATGTTGTCCACAGAATGCGCATGGACACTCCGAATACCGCGCTGAACCATATCGTCCAGTATCCCTTCATTTTTCAACGCGCGGTACAATCCTCCATTACCATCTGGAGCCTTGGAAACCCGATACTTCGTATCTAAGATAATTTTTCCATCGAAAGTGAAACATGGCAGCATACCTTGCTTAAAGGTCTTGACATTGTTATCTTTTAAACCGAAGTAATTATGTTCATCCAGAAAGGTGATAGTGGAGTGGTGAGTAGCTTCGCTAGTAAGAATGTACCTGCGGAAAAAAATTTATTTTGAGATTCTTGTTTACTTTGCAATATGTTATACTCATTCAACAATAACGTTTGATCAATATACCAAGTTATTTCACCGCGTTTTCCATGTAGTTGCTCTGCTATATTTTGCAAACGAAGTATTCTCTCTGCTTGCAGCTGGAATAGAGTTTTGCCTGATGGTAGACCAACGTCATACATTCCTTTAGGATAAGTCACTCCTAAACGTGTGCCTTGACCACCAGCCAATAGTATGACGGCCACACGACCCTCAGCTATTTCCTTCAAGCCATGTTCCTCATATATCTCCAATTCTTCCTTTGTTGATGTCTTAATAGAGGCAATCTTCTTCTTATCAACAGGCTGTAGTTTATCATCCAGCATGCTCTGGCCAATGTGCTGATGGGATTCCAAAGCCTTTTTAAAGTATGCCGTAGTCTCCTCCAGATCTAGCTCATTTATATCATTCTCCAGCTGGTTCCTGTCTTCATCTGTCAGTTCTTCCCAAAAACTGAGCAAATGCTCCTGATCGTACTCCTTCAATTTCTTCTTTAGACGCTCCATACTTGTCGACAATTTGCGTTTGACACTTGCAAATTGATTGTGTACAATAGAGACTATATATGTATATATTCTCTCTTATCACGCGCCGCGTTTATCGTCGCGTGCTCTCCATAAACTTCTTGATATACAATAGCGATCCACGTCACGACGCAAGCACGAGCGCGACCGGGGGGAAGAAAATGCTTCGATCGGCGGGGGGCCAGTAAACGAGCAACAGGTATTCATTGGGCTCGAGACCAGGCCTGTCCCACAGGTAGCAACCGCAGCGGCGTACCTTCACTTTCACGATTCCACGTAGCCCGATTCGATTTCTCTTATCGACCCCTCCCGCTCGGCTGGCCTCCTCTGCACATACAATCCTCCTTTTCCTTGCCACCCTGCCGTACGAGCCGCCATCGCCGATCGTACCGGCCGTCCTCGTCGTCGAGAAAAGTCATTTCTTCCGTGATGATAGGAGCAGATAACCTACGCATCCGGTCGCCTTCTTTATGTCCTTATCTACTTGTCGCGCCGATGATTGAACTGAATACAAGATCGCTGTAAAATAAGGCGCTGATGAGACGTATTACACCTTCGTGGATTTCAGGGGATTAGAAGCAGATAAGCCGAAGTTACTGCACATGAGTCAATCTTTCCGTGTCTTTCTTCCGCACACCGGCGAACACAATACATAAAAGGTCGCAGCGCGCGCAAGTGAGAAAGCGAATCACCTTGACTCGAATGCACTGCTCGCGAGATAACTGCCCGAACAGGAATTCCAATTTTTTTACTCGTATTTTATTGGTGACATTTTAAATTTTGGGAGGTATTTCACTGACTTTCTCTTCGATGCTTACCACAATAACGCGTCCTTGGAACTGTGGTTTTAGCGTGATCATGATTTCGACTTTTGCGAATTTAACTTTGCTTTGTACAATTATAAATGTGATATATATATACGTGCAAATTGATTAAAAGATATATTTGTATCTGGAAAAAATAAAGAAAATGTTAGAGAACCGATATTCTTAATATAATAAATAAGTAATTGTTATAAAATGAATAATAATCATTCCTTTTCACCTATAGAGATGCTATGATAAAATAAGATATATTGATATTTCGTATTTAATGCATAAAATATGTTTGCTGTTAATGGATCAATAAATAAATATTGAATGTAATCACAATGTGTAGTAAATAAACGCCGAATATAATAAGCCTCGTTAAAATTTAATAAAATGCTTTAATTAAAAAGCAAACAAACTAATTTAATTTCCTTATACTCTTATGCTCGAGTATCGGTTTTAAACTCTGTAAAAGAACACCAATAGTATCTATCACAATTGTACCAGCACAATGACGCATAAAGATAACATGGGTGTTAAGCTATCAAATAAAAATATAATGCTCGTTCCAATTATTGATTCAAACATTTTTAATGATCCCCGAGAGCCACGATTGATAATTTCATAAGTTTTATAATAGATTTATTATTGATTCTAATCACGTTTTCTACTAAAATTGTTTTCTCTTTGTTGTTTTTTAAATTCCGTATATATATATATATATATATATAGAATTAAAAAAAATATATTCTTTTTTTAAACGTAAAACATTGAAGATACAAATAAACAAACGTAACAGAATTGATTTATATTTTGTACACTTTGTACTTGTTTTGTTTTCCTTTCTCCCTTCAAAGACTAATTATAAATCAGATAAATGCGTGAAACTTTCAATTAAAAAAAATTTTTTTTTACAATTACGTGCCAAGTAAACGCTTATTTGCTAAATTTATTTGCTAAATTTATTTGCTAAATTTATTTGCTAATTTATTTGCTAAAAACGAACAGATCTGTAATACCTTTATGACAGAATTTTTTGACAGTAATTAGTGACTCATGTTCACCGCGAGATAACGCGGCACGTTATTCAAGCACGGTGTATGAGAAAAGTATAGAAAGGATTAACCATGTTCCTCCGCTGCTGCCGCGTTGCATGCGTGTGCGCCTTGCGACTTATGAAAGGACATGACAATGATAATGATGCCACCGTTGTGTCCGGTGATGGTGAAATAACTGCCCCTACGATCGCTGGACGATGTTCAGACGACACCACAGGACGACGGGAAAGCTATGTGCAGTGTTGTGATGTGTCCGCGAAGTATCGTCAACAGTCAAGTACTCGTTTTACGCTGTAGATGTTTTTCGGTGAGTTGTTCCGCGCCCCCGTTTATCCCCTTTCCCCTCTCTAAACCGCAACTACTGTTGATTGCATGCCGCAGACGCTTGCTCGTGGCGGCGATTGAATCGCATTGACTTACGGAACATGCATTGTTGTGTTCTATCGCAATCATTAGCGATTTGTCGCGAGCGACGAAATCCGAGCACGCGTCCGAACGCCGTAGCAGGAGTGACAGTTGCAACCGTGGATTCTTCCCCTTCTCTCTTTTTCACGGATGTCTTTCCCTTTTGAAATATAATACCACGATTCGTGAATTAGCACCGCTTGATGGGAGCTCGTCTCGTCGCCCACACGTGAACACGCCTTTTCCCCGTTCCGCACGACTTCGCGCGGCACAGTATGATTTGTGTGCCTTAATTGCACTTTCTACACTGTGACTTTTTTTTCCCTCAAAAGCTTGAATATTCTATTAGCAATATTTGCTTCAACCGCACTTTTTACATCTATTAAATTTTAAATATATTTTAAAGTAAGTTTATTTATTTTTTAATTTGCGTTTCCTATATTTTTTTCGTAACTTGATGATATATTTTATCTTAAATGCTGAAAGTAAATGGAAAAATAATGTATAGACGAATTAGATTTTGGTTAATTTAGTTACAGATGCTAAATAAAAGAAACCGAATCAATTTTTTTACGAGTTACTGAGACGATTTTTAACAAGTATCTAAGATTTATATCAAAATTATATCGAAAAGTATGGATTTATTAAATCTAACTTTTATATTTTCGTATATTTGTCCCGTTTTTCCATTTATCTGAGTCTTTACTCAGAAGAAAATACGAAGAAATAAACGAATCTATCTTAAGTGCAGAAAGTACAACCAAGCGAACAGACAGCGCGAAGACTACACCCTGTGCGGTGGCGGCGACCGATTATGTTCGCGCACGCAGATAGGTTAGGCGAAGTGGTGACCGCTGCCCGTCTCTGTTTATCCGCGTTACCGAGATCGCGTCTTCCGAGTGATTCGCAGTGACCTGTCTATCCGGTCGCGATGAGAGATTCGTAGCGGAGGTTAGATATTGAGGTAATCGTTAATTGATGCTGTGAGATAGCATTGATAACGCGTGTAGGATTTAAACGTAGGTTTTAAACGACCGACGTGTTGATTTCTGCCGAGCCTCTGCTGACACGATTGCGGCCAGCCTTTTTTCAATAGACCGGTTATCGTTGCTTTTACTAATCTGTAAAATCTGGAGGGTGCTTAATCAAAGGATGCCTAATGTATTAACAATAATGTTGAACTAAACTCTGGACAATGATGTATTAAACGTTATTGAAGATATTTCTTTACTATTATTACCCAGGTTTAAAAAAAAACTATATTATATAAGTAATAAGTGATGCATGCTTGCCATATATCTTATTGAAATATAATTTTAGTTAATAATTTACATTTTTTATTATTAATTAATGAAAGAATAATAAACAGTCATAAGTATTATTTATATCTGAGATTTATATGACAGAGTATAATGCAATATCACTAACTCGATAAACTAAGATCTATTAACACTGTGTTTTGTGCTACAGGTGCCAGGTGCCTAGAACGCAGCTGGCAAAATGGGCAAGCTGTTGTCAAAGATTTTTGGCAACAAGGAGATGCGTATTCTCATGTTAGGACTGGACGCTGCAGGAAAAACTAGTATCCTTTGCTATTGTACAACCAAGAATTTTTTATATTTCAAGATTGTATTTTTTTTTGTATTTTTATTTTTGTGTATGCAACTTTATTTTCTTTTTTTTCTATTTTTAAGAGATCTTATATAATTTAACTGTACGGTTAAGCAGTATGCTATGTAGTGTATATAATATACTTCAGTCTTAAGTAAATCTATTTCCTTAATTAAATTATATCAGCAATATTGTATAAACTTAAACTAGGACAGTCTGTGACAACTATACCAACTGTAGGATTCAATGTAGAAACAGTTACCTATAAAAATGTTAAATTTAATGTATGGGTAAGTTCTAAACTATATATTATATATTATCGTAATGTGTAAAAATCTTTTAAGAAATTATTTCAATCCATATTTCCTCTTTTCTATTAATAACACAAAATTTTGTGTTTTTCAGGATGTAGGTGGTCAAGATAAAATACGTCCATTGTGGCGTCATTACTACACGGGGACGCAAGGACTTATTTTTGTAGTAGATTGTGCGGATCGGGATAGAATCGACGAAGCTCGCCAAGAACTCCATCGAATTATAAATGATAGAGAAATGCGTGATGCGATAATTTTAATTTTCGCTAATAAACAAGATCTTCCTGATGGTAAGCAATCTTACAGATCTATATAGATGCCAGATATATTTGTATAGGTGTTTGGCGCAATATTTCAATTCTAAATTTTTTTTCTTCAGCAATGAAACCGCACGAAATACAAGAGAAACTGGGGTTAACTAGGATACGAGATAGAAATTGGTACGTTCAGCCATCTTGTGCCACAACGGGAGACGGGCTTTATGAAGGCCTTACGTGGTTAACCAGTAATCATAAATTATGAGCAAATATTTATTTTTCACAAATTAGCTATATATATATATATACGGAGAATACACGTTTGCTTTGTATTTTTATTTTAATTTATCATGTGGAGGCTCTGTCAAGACAAACAACTGACAATGATAGATATGACGAGGTCTTTTTTCACAAGCATAGTTATATTGCAGGTGCAAAAAGGGGAAAAGAAACAATATAAAGACAACTATTAATGGTGTGTTCCAATAATATCTATACTAGGTGAATAGTAATTTATTGTAAAACGAAGTACCAAGGGATGTGACCTTTGTTATTAGCTATTTATCCCAGTCTATGGAAATAATTACTTGAATAAGGTTACACGACAAGTTTAATATCGCTCTGTACATGTAACATATTCACACAAGTGTACTATTTCATGAGACACATAAGCTGTACAAGTTAAAAAAAAAAGAACAAAGAATTACGAGAATCTAGTTACGATATTTAAGGGGTTCACAAATATTCACAAGGATTAGTATACTGTATAACTTATCTTTGCAGGACCTTATCCAATATCTATGTAATTGTTATTCGAGGGGAGTTGCGTTTTTCGAGCGGAAAGTACCTCAAGTTTTTAACAAATCACAGATTTGCTAGATTTTTAACTCCGCAATATCTTGTTGTCAAAAAAAAAATGCTATCTAATATGTATTGTATATTCATACATATATAGTCAATGAATATCATACGCGAGTAAATTCACAGCACCTACATTGAGGCTTTATATAGTGCAGCGAGATTATTCCGTTAATAAACATTCTTGCTATTTATACTTCTGTGCCGAGAAATTGCTCATAATTCATTGGTTTTTGGTATCATCGTCTTCCAGCTCGATAAACCATGTATACATTTTAATTGATTCCCATCTTTTTTGTTTGTCTCGATTATGCTGGGTGCACGCATGCATTTTTTTTTTTTTTGACGACGTTTTAATCGAGATGCAATGGTGTCTAACGTATCATCGGATTTCTCTTTATTACGCACAAGTCGCAGAATATAGCAAGCAATGCAACACGGAGTTATCGGTTTACTGATATTGTGAGCTCAAAAACCAAAAAAAAAGACGAAGAAAAAAAACTAATGTTACAAAGAGCGTAACAGCATTGAATCTGCCAATATTTTTTACCATTTAAGTGAGTATCGGATAATAAAGCGTATTAGTATTAGGTCGCAACGATCAGACCATTAATCTAACGGCATTTTACGGATGAGATAAGTGTTTCCGTGACTGTTTCCGTTTCTCATAGCATAATCCATAGCGTAAGATTAGTAAGAACCTACTTCGAGATTCATAACTGATTCATATAGAAGAAGTTTACAAGTGTTCAAAGTGTTTGTATGATTATCGAATTAAATTGAGTTATACGAGTAAATAATAGTGATGATACACTATAATTCGTGAATACATTGACATCTTATTTACATTCCACGGTAAATTAGCGAATTGTTAGAGAGGAAAATGTTTTTAGTTATATATTGATAATCCACGTGGATTATAAAACCAGAGATTTTTTCAGACGTAAGTTCGTATAAACTCCCTCAGCATCCGTACCATTAATATTAAGCATTTCACTTAAGAAATTGCGTCAAGTTAAGCACATCATCGTCTGTGTAAAAAAAGAAAAGCATAATCAGGCTTTGGAAATACTGAGCAGTTTTCCAAAACACATTAGCTATATTAATTAGTACTCTATGGCTACGTATTTGTACAACTTCATCATCGTAATCTGCATTTTTAACAATGTTTCGATATAGCGGTATCATTACATGTTGTGTACTAATTATATAAAAAATATAGATATATATTCTTTTAAATGCAAGTATGATAAATTGTTATGTTTTATCATCGGCTACAGCAGGAGCCATTCTCATTACATGTAATGTTATGATGTTAATTGACAAAATTTTATGTATATAAATATGTTTGATAATCTAAGCGTAGTGTTTTATGTCGAGCTTTTTATGTATGTTCTCCATATATCCAATAACACGCTACAAAGACAAACATACAAAATTATGATAATAATAATAATAATAATAATGGATGAAATACATATAGTAAAAAGATAAAGATGGCACAGGTTTCACAAGGACTAATATACAAGAAATATAATCTCATTCTAATTTTGATAAAAAAAAAGAATTCGCACCAAGCAGATAAGTTTCAGAAAGATAATAAACATTAATTTTTTTATATGATGAAGATACATTTGTTACATGGATGACAAATTTTGTTCTTGCAACAGCAACGACAAATTAGAGGCAATTTAGAACCATAGAGTATTTTACTTATCAATATCAATCAATATTTTATTTATTAATATCAATCCAAAGCCTGAACAAGAATTTTATAGCATTAGAGAAAAGTCTATAATTCATAGGAATATAATTATTATAATTTTATTATTACATATGGCGAATTGTATCCAGTAGTGATTCAATAAATTTATGTCAGAGTTTCTTTCAGAGACAAAATAACGAAAAGGCCGATAAAAATAAGATCAAGACAACGGAACTCTAAAGTACGCAATTTTCAAATCCAGCTCGTAACCATTTAGAATACAGATGTGTGGCTTGCTACGATTTTTAGATAATTTAATATTTTCAGTGTTGTATAGAAATCTTAAAATTTATTATTGCTATTGGAGAGAAATGCGCTGAGGTTTTTACTCGAGATATATAGGAAGCTTACAGTAATACGTCATCCCTTTTATTTATGCATATATATATATATAGATATACGTATCCTCTTTTAGTTAAAGAGAAGAATATCCAGGTGTGATTTGCCATTTATAAAACTAACGACTTTTGATAATTACATCTTATCAGGGGCCATACAAGAAAAGTTAAGGCTCATTAAAGCGCTTCGAAATATAAGAAATAATGACAACGTAAATCGACGCTATCAGCTTACACATGGATCAACGCTATTAGCCAGAGAATTCCTAATGCACCAATTTATGAGAATACTTCCAAGAATGAAATATCTGCCTTAAAAGGAAGGAAGCTCAGCGAGTCAATAAGTGTTGCAATTGATTTACATATTCGCTATTTATTCCTATTGTTTGAATAAAGTCTATAGCATGTTACACTTTTGATTGTGTGTCTCAAATGTTATAAAACTAGTACGTGTAATTATTTGTCGTTTGTGAAACAAGAGCTAATTAATATATACTTTAGAAATTTTCATTGAACCAACGAACAATCGATATACTCTCTAAGATGCGTAGGAAGAGCGGATTGTCCGCTAAGAATCTCGGGCATTAAAATAATTTGAATTAAGAGCGTTTGCTGGTGCAGCAGGAGCTTTTTGGTTTATGGTGTATATGAAATATAAATATATAATAAAAAAATGCAATATATATAAATATATAATAGCAATTTTTACGAAATCGGAAATTGACGAAGCTAGAAAGTATATATGTACTTGTATATTACTATCATTTGTATAATAAAAATTTCTTTAAATTGTGCATTCTGCGGTATACATGTATCATGCATAAAACACACATTTGTTATTTATGACAATAGTAGGAAAAAATATTAAGGATATTATACAATTTTTTTTATATATATACTTTAATGCATGTCCTCAATTCACATAAAAATATTAAATGAAGTAACAAAGTAAAATAAATAATATTATTTGAAAATCAGAGAAGTCGTGACTTTATTGTTTTAACAGTAAATATGATTAGTTTTAAATATCAGATATTATATTAGTTTTCATATTCTTTATTTTAGTTTCCAAAATATTTATCACTATATTTATTACTAAATCGAAATATTTGATACAATATATATATAACCCACAAAAAAAATATATGTCATGTACTTAGTATGTGCTCTGCATTTTACGAAAGTAAAGCTATATAAAATCGAATTCTTAATACAGATAAACGCCAAGATCTTACTAATTTTATGATATTTTTGCACTTAAAAAAGAATCAAAATATTTTTCCTAAAAAAAATTAACAGTGGAGATGTATGGATCATATCTACATATAACTTTTCATTGTAATGTGTAAAATCAATGGCAGCATCGATTTCTTAGTTATCACAATGTTGCATTAATTTCAGTTTAATTACAAACTTATAGATTCACATATGAGATTCGTGTAATCGAGCATTTTTTTGTTAGACGAAATATAATATATTAAAAATAAGCTAGTTTCATCATACATTGTTTTGTTGCTAATTCGCATGTAATCTAACTGCATAGACTCTAAAATACTATATATATATATATA